GGGCTGGGATGGGAGATTTGGAGCCAAGTCTTTTAATTGCGAGTTAAAAATGGTTCCATTTTTTGGGATGGATGAGGCAAATATTTACATAGAATTCTGAAAATAAAGTTTCTACTGATTATGTCTTAAGGAATTCAGAGCTATAAAGGTTTAAATCCTGTGGAGCCAGGCTGGGAGAGCTGGGGGGGTTCCCCTGGAGAAGAGAAGGCTCCAGGGAGAGCTGAGAGCCCCTTGCAGGGCCTAAAGGGGCTCCAGGAGAGCTGGAGAGGGACTGGGGACAAGGCATGGAGGGACAGGACACAGGGAATGGCTTCCCACTGGAAAAGGGGAGATTTGGGTGGGATCTTGGGAAGGAATTCTTGTCTGGGAGGGTGGGGAGGCCCTGGAATAGAACTCCCAGAGAAGCTGTGGCTGCCCCTGGATCCCTGGAAGTGTCCAAGGCCAGGTTGGAGCAACCTGGGCTGGTGGAAGGTGTCCCTGCCCATGGCAGGGGGTGGCACTGGATGATCCTTAAAATCCCTTCCAAACCAAACCATTCTGATCCCTGGAATGAATACAGGACCCTCTTTGCCTGCTGCCCCCATGAGATCTGACCCCAGTGAAGAACTGAGGTTAGAAATCACATTTAGGACATTCTTGTGTGTCTTCAAGAAACCCCTGAAGAGTCAATAAGACTCTTAATAAATCAGTAATGAAATAGCAGAATTTTACACTTACATAACAAAAATCAAACCCAGGCAGTCCCAGCAGGCAATAATTTCTTGGATCAAATGAATATGTAAGATTTTGTCTGCAAATTTCTTTTTGTGAAGAAAAGCAGTTTAGATTGACTGTCCACATCTCGTGGTAATGGGAAGGGGCAGAGCTCTGCCTGGGATTTGTTCTGTTCACAGCCCTAGAAATCACAGCCCAAAGCCCCCCAAACAAGAATGGGAACACACCCAGAATAGGGTTTGGGATGGAAGGGACCTTTAAAGCTCATCTTATCCCAATTCTTTTCCACAGGCAGGGACACCTCCCACTAGCCCAGGTTACTCCAACCTGGCCTTGGACACTTCCAGGGATCCAGGGGCAGCCACAGCTTCTCTGGGAATTCTATTCCAGTCCCTCCCCACCCTCCCAGCCAACACTCCCTTCCCAATCTCCCATCTCTCCCTGCCCTCTGGCAGTGGGAAGCCATTCCCTGTGTCCTGTCCCTCCATCCCTTGTCCCCAGTCCCTCTCCAGCTCTCTTGCAGTCTCCTTTCCTGGCAGCACATTCCTACTATAGGAATCCTGCCCATTTGATCCATAATTCAGCTCAGAGGACCCTCTGTTTTCCAAGGAGACCATCCCCCAGCCTATTTCTGACCTTATTTCTCCTGGCTGGGTCTTTGTCCTCCATTTTTAATAGAGAAGATGTAAAGGCCGTGAAGAAATCCTGGGGTCAGGGAATCTCAGAATCCCAGAATGGTTTGGGTTGGAAGGGACCTTTAAAGCCCATCTTATTCCACTCCCTGCCATGGGGAGGGACACCTTCCACTATTCCAGGTTGCTCCAACCTGGCCTTGGACACTTCCAGGGATCCAAGGGCAGCCACAGCTTCTCTGGGAATTCTATTCCAGTCCCTCCCCACCCTCCCAGACAAGAATTCCTTCCCAAGATCCCACCTAACCCTGCCCTCTGGCAGTGGGAAGCCATTCCCTGTGTCCTGTCCCTCCATCCCTTGTCCCCAGTCCCTCTCCAGCTCTCCTGGAGCCCCTTTAGGCCCTGCCAGGGGCTCTCAGCTCTCCCTGGAGCCTTCTCTTCTCCAGGGGAACCCCCCCAGCTCTCCCAGCCTGGCTCCACAGGATTTAAACCTTTATAGCTCTGAATTCCTTAAGACATAATCAGCAGAAATTTAACTTTCAGAATTATATGTAAACATTTGCCTCATCCATCCCAGAAAATGGAACCATTTTTAACTTGCAATTAAAAGACTTGGCTCCAAATCTCCCATCCCAGCCCTCAGCCTCCTCCTCAGCCTTGGGAAGGACGAGCACAGGAGGCTGCAAACTGGAAATTGTAAAACCAGCACCATTTCTGCTCTAATTCAATTTGCCAAACCCAGGGAAATCAATAAGAGACGTGTCTTTGCTTGTCACACTCATTTCCTTTTTTTTTTTTGGCCAAACTCTGCCTGTCTCATTCACGAGTGCAGATGGAACAGGAGGAAAGCAAGGCCCTTTTTAGATTTCCACAATAAATGCACACAGGGAAGTCTTTGGGACAGATAATATGATATAGATTCAAATCTTTCAGGGGAACAACATCAGAAATATTCCAGTGTACATGTGGACTTTAAACTTCCTCTCTCTTCCTGCCCTGAAATGAAGTGCTCCAGATGTGAGGAATTGTTTTGGCTGCTTCTGAACACGATTTATACACAGTTTTGATGTGCAGATATTTTACATGGAAATGGATATTTTACAGGGAAATGGATATTTTTTCCAGTGGAAATTCCATTCCAAAGAGCTTGCAAACATCTCTCCCTTTGCAGGAGGTTAAGGATGGCCACCCTGCCCATCAGGTGAGGTCCTAAATGCACTAAAATAAGGACATTCCTCACAAGTTACTTCAAATTTCCTTTCCTCTGTTTCCATTTTCACTCCACAGGCAGGAAAATGACCCCTCTCTGCCCTCAGGATTCCCTCCTCACCTGAGAGGACCTTCCTTCTCCCTCTTTGACCTTCTTGTCTCCCCTGACATGTCATTAAACCAAGCTCCACTTTTTTCTCAAATAACTTTTCTGACATTTTCTGTGACAGTTTCTTTTAAATTCTCCTCACCCAATGCTTAAAATACCTGAAAATCTCCTTAACCAATGCTTCAAAACCTAAATTTCCCCTGTGTCCTGCTTTCCCACCATTCCATCCTCCCCTGAGAGGTGTTTGTTGTAACTCCAGTGACAAAGCAGGTGACATGGAGCAGGATCTGACAGGAATGTTCTGGTGATTCATCCAGGGTAAAATCTGGGAGCCCTATTCCAGGAATATGGAGAAAATTAAGGAAAGCCCCAGAGAAAGAGGGTTCAAGAGAGATGTGGTCCCACAGAGCCATGAAATCCTCTGGGTTGCTGAGGTTTAGTTGGGATATTGGGAAGGAATTCCTGGCTGGGAGGGTGGGGAGGGGCTGGAATAGAATTACCAGAGAAGCTGTGGCTGCCCCTGGATCCCTGGAAGTGTCCAAGGCCAGGTTGGAGCAACCTGGGCTGGTGGAAGGTGTCCCTGCCCATGGCAGGGGTGGCACTGGATGGGCTTTGAGGTCCCTTCCCACCCAAACCAGTCTGGCATTCCATGGAAATTCAACAACTCTAAACCCGTTACGAGCTAAATATTCCCAAAATTCTTCCTGGATTCTGTCTGAAGAAGCAACACTGCACAGGTCAGGCACAGAGGGAGAGATTTAAGAATCCTTAATCCAACAGAAATTTAGGGATCAGATAAAGGGAATGGTGTGGATGGAACCAGGAGCAGATCCCACAAAACTGGCAGCGTTTTCAGGGCATTAAAAGGTTAAAACAAAGATTAAGAGCAGCTGATTTTTCCAGCTCAGAACCCCATTCCCACCTGGAAAACCTCCTGTCCTCTTTCTGCCGCTCCCAAAAGATGCTCATCCCAGTCCTGTGGCTCCCAGAACCAGCAAACCCCAGTCAAAAAATACCAAGCCAAATAATTACCCAGCACAAACAATCTGCTGGGAGGGTGTAAAGAAAAACAAGGATTTTAATTATGGCCCTCATTCCAGGGGGAATTCCTGCACTAACGTGTGTCCAAATGGATCACTGGGTTCCAAATCACCCCTGGTTTGAAACGTGGCCTCAGAGACATGAAAGGGGAATATTTTGATGAGCCTGACACGGAGTGTTGTCAAGGAAATTAGAGCAAAGTAACTCCAGTTAATTATATAAATAGATAATTAAAATTAAATTAAAATTAAATTAAAATTAGGCAGGGGGAAAAAAAATAAAAAGCAGCTAAAAAAAATCCTAATGCAATTAATTTCATTATATATTCTTCGACTTGGGCGAATTCTCCTCGTAATTCCCTAATTCCTCTCGGGGCCGGGGAATCAGGGCCCTCGTTTGTGCCCAGCCATGCAAACAGTGGCATAAACACTGTGATTAAAATCACCCATTTTCATTTCAAATGAGTGGGATTCAGGCAGGAGAGGGAAGGAGAGGGAAGGAGAGCCAGGAGCCTCCAGGTACTGAAGCCCTTCCTGGGATTTGTCCCGGTCGGCTCCAGGACTCCCAGGGAGGTCACACAAGCACAGACCCCACACCCATTCAGCATAAATAACGTGCTCAAACTCTGTGTTTGTTTTGCAGCTCCCAAAGCTCATCCTGGCAGGAGATCTGCGGGATAACAAAGTGTTTTCTGCCTCAACTTTGCCAAAATATCCGTCTCCAAAGTCTGCCTTAATCCCCAATTTCTCCCTCCCTGCACAAATTGTTATTTCAGGAGTTTGATCCTCAAATATCCGGTTTTTAAATCAAATCTGTTGGGGGGTTATTGAAAGGAAAAGAAACTCAAATCAGTGCCAG